GGCTGGTGTTCTACTACTTGAGCAACACCTCTATATCCTCCAACATTTTAAAATGTTGTAAGACAGCACCTTTCACTGTAACACTTTTCCAAGCACTAGTTAGCTATACAATTTCTTTATCTCAAGGCAAATTTTCTTTCAAAGTAAATTTTAAACAATAAAACTAAAGACTCAAAATAATATACTTAATGTACTTAAGCTGTTATGATAACTTGAATATCAAAGTTACTTATCTAACTAACTTAGTTTTGATGTTTTCACCTAGAATCACCAATTTTAAGAATGTAAAGCCAGACACCAATGGCTCTCACTTGTAATCATAGCTACTCGGGAGGATGAGATCTAAGAGTTACAGTTTGAAGCCAGTCTGGGCAGGAAAGTCCTTGAGACACTTACCTCCCATTAACCACCCAAAAAAGACAGAAATAGAGCTGTTGCTCCAGTGATAGAACAATAGCCTTGAGCACAAAAGCTCAGGGACAACACCCAGACCCTGAGTTCAAATGCCAGGAGTGGCACACAGCCCTCCCCCTCACGAAAAGAAAAGAAAAGAGAAGAAAAAAGAACTACTAGAACTTTGGGGGAAGGTTATGTATCTAAACAATATGCTATCAATATCTAAACAGTAAGTTAAACTATTATATTAGATACTTTCCTACTGGCCAATGACTCACACAGAACAATTCTAACATCTCTGGACTCTGTTAACTGTGACTGCCTTGCAAGCACGTGTTCCTTGGGTCTGCTCCAAAGTAATTCCACTGAAAATAGAGATACCACTTACCCAACATTCTTCCTCACAATCAAATATTGTCTATGATTTTGTAAGCGAATACAATACCAAAGGCAGTATCATTCCAAACCATAAAAGAGAGATAACAGAATTAATTAAAACTCCTCATGCCATTCTGCCTACATTTTAGCTCCAACAACCTAATAATACACCTTTTACACTTCTTAGAGAAACTCCTCCCCAACTGGCCATACCTGTTGAGATGCAAAGCCAAGTTCTCTCAGTCATATTTCAGGGTACTTTCCACCTTGAAACACTATGCCTTGAGAGTATACTCAAAGATCAGCGGGCAGAGATTTCTCCATGAGATTTCACCAGGTGTCTTACCCAGCTTAGCATTAGTATGATAAAACTTAGCATTCTCCTGCCAGCAGTCCAACTGTAAATAACCACACTTGAGACCCATAGGATTTCTGATTTCTTTGTAATTTTACAAAGCTTTAACCATTAAAGCATGATCAAACAACCTGCCATGGGAAAACAGATGAACAGAAGACTGCAATAAAGCCATCAGTAAGTGACCTCAGTGACTGTCCATTTAATAACCCTTTGTCTCTAACTGTCCCTTGTAGGCTCTCAGCTGTTTCTAAAGCAAGTGCAATATAATAAGACATTAAATACCTCCTGTTACATGGCTACAAGTGAATTATACAAGACAGGATATGTTATTTAACAAAACCAAAGAAAAAAAAAATCCTATAGCTGCTGACACAGCTGTATCAACTATCAGTTTCTTCTAGCAGGGATGAGAAGTTAAAGAAAAATATCTTATTTAATAACTACTTTAGAGGTTCATAATACAAAGTAGGTATTTCTTTTTGTTTTCATGTATCTATTCCCAGGATCCCAGAAAGTCAATACACACTCCTTATTTTCAACATTGCCTGACTGAAGCATGGCAAAGAACTCTTATAATTTCATCAGTATGTATTTAATCTGATTTCAATCTATGCATTTAATTTTATCAACTTTCCTCTTCCAATTATACCATTAATGAAAAACTTCTACTGCTGGATTGTCTGATAAAAAATGAATAATAATTCTAAAAGTTATTTCTCTGCACATATGCCAAGGCTTGCAACCTAACCTAAGCATCACATGGGCAATTTAATTATACTATAAAATACAAATTCCTATCTGAGATATAATAATTACAGCACCAGATTTTCTTCTGAGTGAATGATTCTGTTCTTAATAGAAATTGTATAGATATTTACATAGCTCTCAACCACCAGAGGAAAAAGGGTAGAAGAGTATAACCTACATAATATAACTGTACAGGTTCCAGAACCAGCCCTTAGCAGTTCAAAACCTGCCTCTGCCACTTGTTAACTGTATGACCATGAACAAAGTATTGAACCTCCATGTGCAATCTTTCTTTCCCTACCAAACTTCCTGAAGATCAATTTAAGATAAGTGCTTAGAGTTCCACTGTCTTTTAGCCTGGTCCCAGTGTCTGGCTTCAACTACTGCCACTCTACTAAAACCATTTTGCCAAGGTTAATGGTCAATTGTACTTGCTAAAACAGCACCATCCTTTGAGTCATTATTGAAACATCAGCAACAATTAACAGCATCTCTGTTTTCTCTGGTTCTGTAATGTTCTTTCCTTTGCATTACTTCACTCTAGAATGCCTTTTTCTCTGTTTCAAGTCTTTTCTCTTCTTCCCTTATAGCAAACATTGCATATCCTTTTCACTCTTTTCACTCTACAAAACATTCTTCCTTTAGGCAATCTCATTTTCTTCACATGTCTTCATTACAGATTAACTCTCCAATACTCATCTCTGGCCCAAACCTACATTAAAAACTGTCTCTAGGATGTCACATCTTAGAAGGTCCCACCAGCACATGGGATTCAAGAACAAAGTCAATGTTTTACTTGCCTGACTTTCTTAAATCTGTTTCTCCTGTTTCTAATCATATGTTAATATCATCATCAGAATGACTACAAATTTTGGACTTCTATTTCCTTTCTCATTCATTTTGCCCACATTTATTAACTGTTGAAGGCCGTTTTATCCATCATAACTCTTTTAATCTTTACCATTAATGAAGATGAGGCAGATCTCCCCATTTAAAAGAAACAATACCAAGATTTAGACATAATCTTAATTCAAGATTAGAAAGCTACTAAATGTCAGAGCTGATTTCGTGAGTCCTATCTACAAAGCCCAGGCTGTCTATCATAGTGTGAGATGGGAATGTCTATTTAAACATACACGTATCCCATTCTAGACACTGTCGCCACTGACAGCCAGGTCTAAAGAAACAACAGTGGTCAAGACAGACATGACCTCTGCCTTTATGGAATAAAACACATGGTAGAACTGTCAGTTAAACAATCAAATTACAATCAAACATAGGAAGCTCTATGACACAGAAATCAAGTGTGGAACCACAGCACCTAACTGAAAGGCTTGTGGAAGGCTCTCCCCTGAAAGTAACATCTGACTGAAACCAGAAAAGGTAGTAGATGTTAGCCAAGCAAAAACAGATACCATTTTATACCCCCTAGGACCACTATCAGAAACAAACAAAATGGAACAGAAAATAACAACTGTTGGCAGGAATGTGGAATGTCTATACATGGTTCTTAAGAATATAAAATGGTACAACCCCTATGGAAAATACTGGGGCTGTTTCTCAAAAAACTTAAAAACAGAATAACCATGACTTGGTATTTCTATATCTGAGTTTATTCCCAAAAGAAGTAAAAATAAAAATTTAAGTGTACATCCATCTTCATAGCAGAATTGTTCACAATAGCTAAAGGGTAAAAGCATTTCAAGTGTAAAAAAAAGTAAAAGCATTTCAATAGATCAATAAAATGCAATATAAACATTTCATGGAATATTATTCAGCATTAAAAAGGAATAAAATGTGTATGCATGCTATAACATGAATAAATTTTGAAAAGTCTGTGTTAAGTGAAATAAGCCAGTCAGTAAAGTACAAATACTGTGTGATTCTGCTTATAAAAGGTACCTAGACTAGTCCAATTTAAAGAAACAGGACTTTGAGAAGGCAGACATAGGGAGATACTGTATCGTGGCTAGGCAATAATACAATGTATGCAATAATGGAAATGTTCTGGAGATGGGCATAGTGATGGTTACCTAACAGTAAGAATGTATGTAACATCACTTGATTCAACACTTATAAGTGGTTAAGATGGTAAATCATATATTTTGCCACAATTTTTTGAATCAGCTTTGTCACTCTTTGTACACATTGGTCCACTTTCATATGAAAGGTATAAATCATTTCCTCCTAATATTTTATAGAATGCAGTTATACCACAAACCATAGGACATTTACATGGGAAAAGCTAGTGAAATCACAATATTTTATATTCATGCTTTAAGATGTCCCCTAAAAATCTGGTTTCATATAATCTAATTTAGTCTCTTCTTCAATCAACATAGTACTTATTTTTACCTTTACTTATTTTTGTGACAATACTTGGGCTTGAACTCAAGGCCTTGTACTCTTACTTAGCTTTTTAGTTCAAAGCTAATGCTCTACCACTTAAGCCACATCTCCACTTTCAATTATGTGCTGGTGCCTTGGAGATAAGAATCTCAGACTTTCTACCCTGGCTGTCCTTAAACCACGATGCTCAGCTTTCAGCCTCCTGTGTAGCTAAGATTACAGGCATGAGGCACCAACACATGGCCCAGCATAGTATTTCTAATACCTTAATTAGACTATACAGATCACCAAACTCTAAGAAATGGTTTAAAAAAAAAAAAAAAACCAACTATCCTGTCAATTCTAAAATTAAGCAAACGTATAAGCATATCCAGTATCTTAGGGCTTTTCTAACTTAAAAAACTTTTGTTTCAGAGATATTAATATCAAACTAGGACATTTATAAATAGTTTACCCTACATGAGAAAATTAAGCATTCTTAAGTTCTATAATAAATTCAGTGCATTTCCCAACATAAATAACAAGCTATTATAAGTGTTTTATATTTTTATCAGTGAATTTTTCCATTTATTAAATAGAAATTACATTATTAAATGTCTGTAACATTTGAGCATAATATAGACTCTGTATTACAGAATTCAGCTCACAGTAATACTACAATTCAGTCTAAAAAAACACAAAACAGAGAACAAAGTTTGTTGTTGTTTTTTCATTTTGATAAATTTAAGAATGCCATCTATACTTTAAATCATACTGTAAGATGTATCTTAAGAAAATGACCTATTTCCAAACCCCTTGTGTAAGTATGACATAAGGAAAGTTCAGTCCATTCGGATCTTCTGATTTGTCATCCTATATATGATGCTATCATATCCAGGGTCCATGTTCCAAATGTTGTAGGAGATGATGAGGACAGCCAGAGCCAAGGCAATCATCACCCAAAGTACCAGGTTGAAAACCACTGAATACTCAAAATTATATTTATATGCCAGGTTATAGGGAATTACTTGTTTCTCTGGTTTTGCCTCAAGGATCATCCTGGTCTTCCTCACCAGGCGTGTGTCAAAGGACTTGATGGTCACTAACTCTACCACTGCATTCCCTCCATAAAGACTGTACATGTCATCTGCAAACTTTTGTAGAGCATCAACGAGGATCTTAGAAGCATCTCTGAATTGTTCCGACTCTTTGCCATAACGTTTCTCAATTTCATCCAAACCTACTAGCTCCAGGGAATACAAATCAGGAGAATGATCCTCAGCTACGTGCTGGTGGAGAGTTAACAAACTTGAGATCTCATGAAGCACTTGCAGTTCAGAAAGAAAAAGCAGGTCAACTTCCTCATTCCTACTCAGAGAATTTAAAGGGAGTGAACTGAGAATGGAGTTTTCTTGAAACAGGTGATTCCGGAGTTGCTGTAATGTGACTGAAAGGTCTTCAAACACCAAGTTAGCCTTCCCCACCAAATATACTCTTTCCTCGCTGGGAGCCAACTGCAACACTACAGGAGTTTCTTCAGAGAATAAGGAGTGGATGGCATTTGCCACACTGTCAAGACTAAAAGGAACTGCATTTTCCAAGGGGTAGGAGATGACTCTTTCTGTGGGGAAGGCCAGTTTGTCTATTCCTTTCACCATTACCATAATGGTAGCTTGGGGCCTGCGGAATAGGTTACCCACTGCAAGTCCTGGCCAAGAAAGGTTTTCTTTCACAGTGAAGCCCATGGACAATGCAGCAACGTCTGGGATTCGCTCTGCTGATATAGGCCAATTTCCATTTCGGAAAACAACAGACCCTGGTGATCGTAATATACTAAACTCGTTCCCCCAAACACCTGCCACCAACAAGGACAGGAGTACGAGGAACGCAGTCGTCATCGTGCCGCGGCTGCTGCAGCAGTGCAAGGCGACACAGACGGCCGGCGGGACACCGGCGACCACCGCAGCCGGAGGAGGTGACTTGCTCGAGCTGGTTTCTACTCCCAGAGTCCGCCGCCACAATTTCTTAAAAAGCATTACAAACACTATATTTGAAGGACAGAAAGGAAAATAATTTTTAAGACATTAAGAAGTTGAGAAAGGCTAGGGAAAAAAATTCCAAAAACCCTCCTAAGCACTTGATAGGATTTCTAAACCAGATAGTCTTAAAGGTCTGAGGCCACATACTGTTCTCAAACCCAGCAACCAGGTATCATTTTTTAGCACCAGGGAATGAGAGTAGAAAAAAAGTTCACAATTGCCTAAGCAGAAATGCAGAGTATCCCTCTAAATTAAAGTTAGGAAATCTTCCTCATATCCTGAGAGAGCTGTCAAGTTTATCTAGGCAGAGGAATCTCAGTCATGTTAAGTCTAAACCACAAAGAGTCTAACAGCTAAGCTACAGAACAGCATTCTGAAAAGACAAATAGTACTTGTTGCTTTTGGAGAACCTAGTTCATGAGAGGAAAAATTGCTTTTGCTTGTGTTCTCTGAGTATTTTGCAGATCCGAGCTCAAGTTGCAATTCATTACAGCTCTGCCTGCACAGGAGCCTGTGCCAATGACTCCATTTTCAAGGTATCTCTCTCATCCATAAAACTCAATCCAGGCCTTAAATTTGGTACATGAAAACCTTGTTTCAGAGACTATCTTTGTATTTGTAGGTATGTCAAAGAGTCTATTCAGATAAGTAATCATAACTAATTTTAAAGTACACAGCAATAACAGATTGTAAGCTTTCCCTTTGTGATATACTTCAACTTTATAAATGTTCTGCAATCTTAAACTAAAATGTTTCATTTAAATTGAAATTTCAAACACAACTTTTACTACTTACACAATATGCATTGAATGAGAAAATATACTGTGATAAGGAACATATGCTCACAAATCTTCTATACCCAGGAGATTGCTTCAAGGTAACTGCCCTTCTGGAGACCAAAGAAATAAAAGAAGGAAATGTCACTACCAAAACTATTGTCCAAAAGACAATGTAAGATTGAACATGAGGTCAATTTTATATCAAATACAGAATAGTTATATAACTACAAATGGGAAAGGCAGTTAAGATTACATAATGAGCAAAGATGAAGGAGAATTTACAAGCTTTAGTTAGGATGTGTCTCTGAAGAAGATCTACTGTATTATAATTTCCTGCTCCCAGAAATCTGTACTTGTCTCTCCTGTAGGGCAAATCATTTATAAATGTTGGAAGAACATTACTTGGTGGAAATAACTACAGTCTATTTTGTGGTTTCTCATTGATATTCCCACCAGACACTACACACACTCCATGGAACAAAACATGGTGTTTCTGAATTACCCACAATTATGTTAAATGAAAGAGGGAGATTTGATAAGAACAAAAGATAAGGGACTAGGGGGGAGGCTGGGAAGGGATGTGAAGGGTAAACCAAAGGAGGAGACTGCAATGCTTGGTAAGAAATGTACGCATTATCTTGCCCATGTAATTGTAACCCCTCTGTACAGTATGTTCACAAATAAAATTAAATTAAATTAAAAAAAAAAAGATAAGGGACTAGCCTAGAGTAAACCAATCACAAGAATCAGGAGCACTCATTTCTGTGTTTATTTTTCCATAAACCAGCAATAAAATAATTCAGTCAGAAGTAACTGACTGGTGTAGACCTCTATCAGTCCCATGGAGTATACACACTCATTTGCCTTCTCGAGCTTATTATTTGATTAACTACAACTTCATTTGATTCACCTAGATTAGGGACATACTGTATAATCTTCAAATCAAACATGTTTATCTGATTCGTTAAACATGCCAGACTTGCAGAGAAAGTTAAATTGAGGGCAAAAACGTGAAAACTCAGGAAATAAAAAACTCACTTGTCAATATTGCAATGTCAGTCTCCCCCCATTCGATATCAATCTCAATCTCCCCCCACCCTTTCTCTCTATAACCCTTATTATCTCCCTTCTCTGTCCTCCTTGGTGTTTAGTTTCTCTGAGGTAAGGTCTTGATATACAGTCCAGGTTGGTTTAATTTATAAACCCAGAGTCCTGGGTTTACAGGCATGTACCACCATATCAGTCTTACTGTTAAGTCTTAAATTTAATCTGCTACAACTATATGAGAGTCTTTTAAAATCAATGTTAAGTTTTATCCCACTAGTGACAATTCTGGAAGCTACCACACACATACTCCTCCCCCCCAAAAAAGTTTTTTATTCCAATTAGTAAGTTTAACTTGAGCTAAGAGGTATATTTATACTTACTATTTACAGTCAGAGAGTCCCTTCCAAGTCCATTTTTTGGATTACTAAAATCAAAGTAATTCAACAAATTGAGTTTTCCAGTTGTATTTTCCAGTAAGAAGAACCCAGTGTCCTCTTGCAATAATATTTAGAAGCATTTTTATCTAGCTGTCCATTGGCCCATAAGATGATGGTGTACACAGCAAGCTCTTTAACTGGGACACACAAGTTGGAATGTAAATGCTGCTGCCTAGCAACTGAAGGTGTGGGATTTTTAACAAGAATGCTCAGGTCACATTTAGTCTTTCTATATAACAGCCTTAAGCTAATAACTTGATAGTACCACCTATTAGCGTTATTCTTATGGTCTTCCACCTCATTTGACTGTTACCTATTAAAACATCAGAGAAACATACTATCCAAATGAATCAATTAACTCAAAACAGCCACAAGGAATCTAGAATAGTAATTTAGACATTCTAAATGTTTAAATAACATTTTTGCTTATAAGAAGGCAAATTATCTTATAGATTACATCTGAGATAATCTCTTCTGAGTCCTGTTCCATTCAAGAAGCACAGTTAAATTTTCTGGTTTTATTTCAGTATGGTCTGATCTGCCAAAAGATACACAGTGTGTGTTGCCATTCTGTTTTTGAATATATGCTGTCAAAAATGCTTGGAACCACAGAACCATATCAGAGGAGCAGCACACAGGCTTGGTTTCTCCACCCATAGTAACTAGTAATCCCCAAAGTTCGAAGAGTACTTTTCTTACTTATGGCCAAAATAATATAAAAATAATGTGTATGTTTATGTACTCTCTTGTATGTCAACTTCCTCAAGCAACCCTGAGACCACTAAACAATTTTCTCTGCTTCAAAATCCATTCCAAATCCATCTACTTCTCCTCACTTCCAGTTATCCTCCTGAGGCAAGCGACCTTTACCCTCACCTACAACATTCCTCTGGCCTTCCTTTTGTCCCCTGCCTATGGTCCAATCTCCAAAGAAATCAGAGCATCTCTTTTTTTAAAAAAACAGATGGAATCATGCCACTCTCTTGCTTATATACTATTTCTTTCTTAATGAGCTCCCTCTGCACATGGAATAAAATCTATACTCTTTGACATTACTGTGTTTCCTAATTATAGCAAGTCTCCCTCTCATTCACCAGTCTCAAGTCATACAGGCCTTCTTTCTGTTCCTCAAATAATCCTTTTCCCTAGGCTTTGCACAACTTTGGTGTTCTCATCTATTCATTCCCAAACCATCCTAACAAAAACAGCACCCTCAACATAGTGACAAACTGTCATAAACATGTTTATTGACCTGTCCTTACTACTTGTCTCTCCCAGTAGAATGTAAGCTCCATGAAAGCTGAAACAAGTGTACCTTCCTTTCTTCTTTCACTCAATTATTTTCAGACTTATTTTAGTCCAGGCATCTTTCTAGTTAATGAGATTCAGCAGTGAATCGAGGAGGCAAAAAAAAAAAAAAAAAAAACCTCTTACACGTACTAATGCTCAGCCAGAGATGCTCAAGTCTCCAGACAATGATGTGATCTTAGGTTTTACTGTGCTTTGATATGACTTCTAAAACTATTTTCATTAAACCAATCAAATTCCTAATGAATGAAATCTACTGAGACTGGTCTCACAATTATAACTTATATTCAAGCTAGAATAATATCAAAAGCTTAGCTCTAACATAATTATTTAGAGCTCAGTGTTGTCCAAAAGCCATTTAATACTTACCACCTTATAAGAAAACAGCTTTCCTTCCCAATCCTAACCTCTTTCATAATTTCTCTTAAATCATAATCCCTCACCACTTTCACCTCCTCTGTAACCCCATATACTACTACACTTTGGCAGGGGAAAAGGAATGAAGTTAATGAACACATTGAAAAGGCTTGGATATATGTGAATACATTTGCAATATGTGAATTCTACTCTAAAACAGTTTAATTTTTTTTTTGCTTAGTTCTAATATGAGCATCATTTATCTACTGAATGACTAGTAATGAAACCTTCTTGGCAATTACCTGTTAGATTTGTCACACCCAATTTAGCACTTCAGCAATTATAAGAAGTAAAGCCCAAATGTGAAATCATTTAAGTCTAGCCTTCTTTTTGCTGGTAGGATGCCCTGAATTCCACCCAGAGGAGCCTATCACTGCCAACACCTTGACAGCTCACCTATTTGCAGGTCCACTAATAAATGCCTGCTATCTTTCCTCCAACTAAAGGAAGAAAAATCCTGGAAAAGCACAATCCATCTCTTTTGCTACACACATACAGAAAAGCATTGTCTTAAAAGGTACCATGTAACCAATCCAGGGCCAATTTATATGTTCAATCTATATAAAGTGCTAAACCATACACGGAAAAATTACAGAAGAGCATGTGGGATCATAACCAACTTAGGTATTAGTTTGATATTTAGACTCATTTACCTACACAACTTCAGAGAGTTTTCAGGGCCTAAGTATACAGGCAGCAAGCATACTATTTGATTCTGCAGAGCCTCCTAGAATAAATCACGTACTGAAATGTACATAGATTCTTTGAGAAGAAACTATTCGTATAGAATACCAAGTTCAGGTCATAAGATCAAGAACTTGCATACAGTATTCACCTACAAGGGCAGTGGTATCTAGCTTGAGGTGGCTGGCTCACTATAACTGCCTACTTAGTTATCGATTTTTACATGACCACCTTAAAAAAAGTGGGACTGGGGTACATCTTCTGAGAGCACCCTAGCCTCACTAACTCAGAAAGTCAGGAGAAGGATCTAGATTGCGTCTGTGTGCATCATTT